CAAAAAATAAAACAAAGTTTATACAAATACGTGTGTGGAACTACAACAAATATAGTAGTATTTTGTCACATCTTGAGCGACTGGTCTTTTGGAATATTTTATTATCAACTCACTGGAAATCACTATTGAAATCTTAGCGAAGCAGATATCATAACGTCCATAGATTTGACTTTAATGAAATGCAAATAAATAAAAGTAATTATTTCACGTATGACGAACACAAATTAGGAAGAAAATGTCAGAAGAGTATAAATAATTTAAAGGTTTTCAAGCACAACCTTATCGACGAAGTATTGTGACGTTATTTGTTTGTCTCTCTTTGTTCTATTTTAGGCATGCAACTGAAATAACTGAAAAAGACAGTAGAGAAATCAAGCCCGTATTTCTCAGAAATGACAATATATTCTGAGACATCGAAAGTGTACAATGGTGATAGAAACCAACGGCTAGCGTCTCGTGTGGAACTACAACAAATATAGTAATATTTTGTCACATCTTGAGCACAAAATCAGGCATGCAACTGAAAACAATGACAGTAAAGAAATGAATCACGTGTTTCTCAACATTAAGATCTTCACAATATAACTTATAACCAATATAGAGGGATTATATTTTGTGTTTCCATGGTATTTAAGTCAGTTATTTAATGGAAGAAGAGTTTATTTTGTATCTGTTCTAGTTTATGAGTTCTGATAATATTTTGTAGATGCATTATTAATACAGTAAATAAGAAATTCCTTTTTTTGTTTTCGTGTTGATTGTTTTGGTGAATCATATTATCGCCATTGCAAAAATGTTATTCGATCCATATCTATCAAATTCTAAATATAGCACCCCTCCCTTTTTTTAGTATTCGGCAATCCCGCGGATAAATTTTATTGGTGTTTGGTTTGTTTTGAATTTCGCGCAAAGCTACACGAGCGCTATCTGTACTTGCCGTCCCTAATTTAGCAGTGAATTTAGACTAAAGGAAAGGCAGCTAGTCATCACCACCCACCGCCAACTCTTGGGCTACTCTTTTACCAAAACGAATGGTGGAATTGACCGGGACATTATAACGCCCCCGCGGCTGATAGGGCGTGCATGTTCGTTGACGGGGATTCGAACCCACGACCCGCAAATTGCGAGTCGAGCGCCGAAGTCAACAATCGTCGTAAATTGTTTGATATCATAAAGTTTATTAGTTGTGACACCAGTTCTCGTACCGAGCTATCCTTATTAAATTTTTTAATGTACAAATGTGTACAATTAATATTAGTATGGACCTTTTACTTATACGTCAAATAATTTTGCCTTTTATCTGTAAACAATGACTTCGTGGTTAGGATGGTTACATTCCACAAATTTGTCGATTCATTTTAGTTGTCTTTGTAGATACTACATTTGATAAGGATATTGCAAGACGGCTGGTGGTTAATGAGCTCAACTCGAAAAATGCAGGTTCGAATCCCATTATCAAACATGCTCGTCCTTTCAACCTTGGGGGCGTTGTAAAGTCCCGATGCATCCCACTGTTCGTTTGTAAAGAGTAACCCAAGAGTTGGTGGTGAGTGATGTTGACTAGCTGCCTTCCTTCTAGTCTATCACGTCTAAATTAGAGATGGCTAGTGCAGATAGCCCTCTGGTGGTTTTGCGCGAAATTCAACATAACAAAGAAACGTTGCTAGACCTTGTAATATGGGGTGATTTCATGTTTGTATAGTGATTTAATTTTCTGAAAATTTGGAATTTGTTGCTAATATCCTCACCTTGACAGTGTTTCTGGATATACTTTAAGTGTATCCATGTTCAAAATAAATTAGACGGGAAGGTGACACTTGAACATTTGGAATTTATTGCTGGATACACTTAAAGTATATCCAGAAACACTGTCAAGGTGAGGATACTACGTTCAAAATAAATTAGAAGGGAAGGTGACACTTGTTTAATAATTGAATTTACCGTGGTTTTGTTTTAACTAAGTTAATTTAAGATACACGTGATAATATGTATAGTAGTGATTCTGTTAAAGTATGTTTTTCAGAATGTGTTTATTTTTTATTTGTTCTTTTGGTTTGCTTATTTTAGCGACGTGGGCTGTCTGCTCTCTACCCTCCGCAGGGAATTGAACTCCAATTTTTAGCAATGTAACTACAGAAACTTATTGTTTATCTTTTTGTGTGTGTGAAACTATTACGAAGTACGAGTAAAGAAACTTCACTTGAGTTTAAGCACATTTTTTCTAAGTGGGAAATATCTACTTTGTGTGTATGAACCCTTCTAATCGTACCTCGTTTTTCTTTTGTTTTTCAGTTAATTGGACAGATTTAAAATGTAATTAAAATTAAATAAGCTACTAAAAGGAACACTGAGAAACTTTGTTTGTATGTGTTTACAGCAAAGCCACATTGGGCTTTCTGCCGTGTGTCAGCGCGTGAATCAAACCCTGGATTTTAGCGTTATAAGCCTGTAAACTTACCGCTTTCCCACCACTGGTAGATCACAAAGAAACACTTCACAGATACACACACACACACACAAAAAGCCTTAATGAAACATAGCACTTTGATAGAAATAATTATATGTAACTTTAGTTTTTATACTGAAAGACCCACAAGTCTTCACGATTCCACCGAGGTCAACAACCACAACTGAATAACTACCATGTCTGCTTCTTCTAAATTAGCGACGGTTGAAGACTAGCGGGTCCCCTACGCACGTTCGTTCAAGAACACAGGAAACGCGACCCGAGAGCCTCCTAACACTATTATCGCTGCCAATAAAACAGCTTCATAAAACTCATGGCAGCCGTCTTTTGGAACACACACACATGTGAAGTTTTACAAAAAGATGTAGCTACAGGTCAAGGTTTCCAGATGAAACAAAAGATGTCAGAAATACATAAACTCCGAGTTAACTTCGTAGCGTGAGGGTTACTGCACGATGCAACCGAGAGTATGTGCGCGCCTTTAGGCCAGGCAATATACTCGTTTGACGACTGCTGATCTGTTGCCTGCCCGCCAAGGCTCGTTACGTAGAAAACAACTTCGTGTACACAGCGTCACACCTGCTTCGAGTGACAAGGCGTACTTGTCTTTGTCTAAGCATGCGCTGTAGTAAATATATGAGTGTCTACATTTATTTTGTGATATAGAAAAACAGGAGTTTTACGTCTATAGAATATTTTTTCGGAGTTGGTGATTTCTTTCTAAAAAGACTGTCAGTATATCAGAACTGTAAATATAACTTTAGTTAGTACGGGAAAAGGCAGGGAACAGAGCAAACTTGACGTACAGCGTATCAATCGAACGCAGAATTGTACTGCTCTTCAGAAAATTACATCTTAAGTGTTTTATTTAAAAATCAGAAGGTTCGGCCGTAATAGGTAAGCCAGCATCGTGTTTCATAGACTTTATTAGTATTGTGTACTCAGTTTTAGCCTGTAGTATATTTCAAATCCCCTGGAGCTAGTGTGCAACATTACAACGCTTAACTTGTCTGCGCTTGCTGAACGCTTTTATTTAACCACATGGTGCACACTACTTCCTGCACTACGATACAGTTTTCAAACTTTTATAATTTAAAACGTTTTTCGGTTTTTATTTTGTTTTAGAAAAAAAAAAAAGATTCCATGTACACGAGAAGCTGTATCCCAAAATTAAATGTTTTAATTCAACTAAATTTAATTTTACGAAAAATATTTTTGTATCCTATAAATCATATTTTTAATAATATTTTAATGAAATCTCGGACGTGTCTTGCGGACTCCCCTTCTCTCCCCCGGTAGTCCGCTGACTCCAGATTTGAGATAACTGTTTCAAAAATAAGGCCAACATTTTCAGGGCCTCTGCTTGTCTGCTCTATTTCAGGGCTATAGTTTCAGGGTTAAATTAGTTTCAAATATTTTAATGAAATCTCGGACGTGTCTTGCGGACTCCCCTTCTCTCCCCCGGGAGTCCGCTGACTCCAGATTTGAGATAACTGTTTCAAAAATAAGGCCAACATTTTCAGGGCCTCTGCTTGTCT